CTAATGTGTGATTCAGGGATCAAGTGCCACACAGGAAAGGTTATTTTGGTGCAAATTATTTTGCTCCACTCCCAAGATCTTTAGAATCAAATATGTTTCCATATTGAAAGCTCAGTTAAGATAAGCCAGCATATTTACTGCAGTAAGTTATGAGCATTACATGTACATTGCTTTGTTCCTCATCAAGGTTCTTAGTGTATTGTATAAATTATTTATTATTATTTTTTTTTTCCTAGTATGAATCAGGTATTTATAAACTGTTTTGTTGTTTGATAGCTACAAGCAGATTTTTTATCAACACTGTCTATCTGCTGGAGAATAGGTTTAGGTTTCTTTGTAAAAAAAAAAAAAAAACTGTTACTCTTATCTGTTTCTGTCAAATGGCTTACAGTAACTGTGATGATCAGTGAGCTACATAATTCTTTGTTCCTGTTTTCAGAGTACAAAATTACATTTTCTTGTGTTAATTTTTATCACATAACGTGTGACAAGGAAAAATGATTTATTCCTGTGCTTTTATTTTTAACAGGGGCTGTCGGAGCAACCAACATGAACGCACACAGTTCGCGATCACACGCTATCTTCACAATTACTATAGAGTGTGCAGAGAGAGGGGTGGATGGACAACAACACTGGAGAGTTGGGAAGCTTCACCTCGTAGATCTTGCAGTAAGTGTATTCTGTGCGGTGCTGTAAGACTATATTTTCTATCCCTCTGATGTCTATGAACAGACCTGAACAGACTGAATGAGGAACTGATTTTAGTAGATGTTTTAAATCATAGAGAAATATTTCTTTGTATAATGCAAATCTTCAGCTAACATTGTATGCATTTCTTTAGGGTTCCGAGCGACAGAGCAAAACAGGGGCAACAGGTCAGAGACTGAAGGAAGCTAGTAAAATTAATCTGTCCCTTTCAACCCTGGGAAATGTAATTTCGGCTCTGGTGGATGGAAGGTCGACACATATACCTTATCGAAATTCTAAGTTGACAAGACTTCTACAGGATTCTTTGGGAGGCAACTCAAAAACGTTAATGGTAAGACATCTGATTTTTATCGCATATGAATAGATATATTGATAGATATACATTGATATCTATAACTATATTTTGGATGTATATATCTGTCTTTCTATATCAGCCTGTATGTATTTATCTATTTAATGGATTTTTTTGATAAGTGGACTTGTAATTATCCTTGTGTATTGTCCAAATTTAGGGCCCAGATATAATAGAATTTTAGCTGAAATAAATTATTTGACATTTTTATCTTGATGTGTAGTTATGGACTTACTTAAGTGCTCTTTAATTGTATATCATTCACTAATTACTTCTTTTTTGTGCAGAAGAATAGAACCTAACTATAAAGTAATTGAATGAAAGTTAAAGTACATGAAATATTCTTTGTCTGCATAGTGTGCAAATATAGGACCAGCGAGTTACAACTATGACGAGACAATCAGCACGTTGCGCTACGCCAATCGAGCAAAGAACATCTGCAACAAAGCCAAGATCAATGAAGACCCAAAGGACGCTCTTCTACGGCGCCTCCAGGATGAGATAAAGACACTGAGAGGTCAACTTGAAGGTACTGTAATGTTACTGTTCAGGTATCGAGGATGTGTAAAGGAACCTTTAGTGTAGTATGGAAACAACACAGAAGCACCCTTTCCATTTTTTGGCACGTTTTTACCTTCTAGGGGATATTTCATTGAGGAAGATGTTCATTCAGATTCTCTTTGCATTTTACATCTTACTAGCATAATCATATATATAATCATTCTTCTCGCCTTTGTGAGGGAAAATCAAGATGTTTCAGTGCACCTGCAGGCTGTATGTATAATAGTTGTAGGCTAATGTTGAATGATTTGGAGTATGTAAATCATACTTGAAGATGATAGACTGGAAAGAAATATTTTAAAATGTTGTTCATTAATTGATACAATCTCAGGAGGATTTACTATAAGAGTTACCACCTGTATGATTAGCTATCAGACAAAATTTCCCGAAGATTTAATATCACTATTTTATAGTTTATTTTGGATAATGAGCCATTTTTAGGCTCAAATTTGACTTTATGCTGAAAATAGCCCAGACAGTATTCATATAATGATACATTAATGAATACACCAAATTAAATCAGAGATATCGTGAAAATAAAAGTAATGAATTACTCTCCTACTCAGCTACATCCCAGCTATACCCCTCCTTTCTCCTTGACATCAAAGGCTCTCGCTTCACACAGTCTCCCACTGAGGCAAATAATGTCCGTGTTTGCACTTATCTCCACTCTCCCAGCAGTCCTTTGTGAAACTCCCAAATTTTCTTTGCAGTTTTTCTGTCACATTTCAGCTCATTTGCCATATCTCTTGAGACTTACCTTTTTCTCTTGTATTTTGACAGTGCCAGGTTACTCCTTTTGGCATTCAACAGTACCTTCTTGTGTTTTCTGATCTGGCCTTTCTGACAGTTAAAAAGTTTCAAGCATTATTGTGATGGAAACAAGTGTAGTTTTGATCTTGGTACGGTATTCTTGGGTATGATTTACCCAAAATGTTCCTAAGCTTTTACCATTATAAGAGATTTTGAGATTAATTATAATGTAATGCCTAAACAGTACCACGTAGCCCACAGAGGAATTCAAGGTGTTTTTAGTGTTAAATAGTTTAAAGCTATTAATAGGTAAAATTTTGTTGTCCAAAAGAAATGATGATATATTATGTTTACATTCATCACTACAGTTTTTCATGTCCTTTCTATGGACTGGGTGACAGTTGAAAAATCTGAAATGCTTAATTGAAAATACATGCACTGTGTATTAAATATAAGGGATCACCACAGGTTTATTAAGTTGCACATTCTCTAAAATCTCAAAAAATATCTATAGGAGAATTTCTGTTGTCTAGAGAAGTTGGTATTATGACATTTTCACATTCATTAGTACAGTTCTTTAAACCCTTTCTAAGGTAAACATCCAAATACCTGAAATACATTAAAAATATATGAACTGTATTAGATATAAGGATCACCATTGGTTTATTAATTTGTCAAGTTACACAAACATTGTACAAAATTAATTATTAACAGTTATAAGAAGAGGAAACATATGCATATATAAGCAGAAACACACAGAAAATTAATTTGAATTATACTTAAGTATTTGCCACAATCACTAGAGCATCAGTAGATGCATGTAGAGGACAGAGGACCACTGGACACCTTTTCACTTACATCACTTGTTACTGGCCAACATTTACTCACAGTGCTTGTATGAACACAACTGCACTGTCACACTCAGTATTAAATGTTATCAGTTGGTGCTGATGCAAATGTTTCAAAAGTTGCAATAAGGCTAACTGAGAAATCTAGAATGCTGAATTATGAACTTTTGGTCCATCTTTTACTGTAGCTTTTTTTTTTTTTTTTTTTTTTTTTTTCAGTCAATTAAGCTATGATATTTTTGTGATGGATTTTGATGTTTTTTAAAAAAGGAATCAATGTTACTTTATGCTGTTAACATTAGTTCCTTTTTTATGATTATGATTGATGCGGTGGCTTATAATCATGTCAATGCTACAGTAAAAGATTGGAGTATAAGATGCACTTGAATGCCAATTAGTTACATTGCGTATTGCCTATATCACACTGTAACTTAAGTGGTCTAGCTTGATTTAGATAATATCCAACCTAACTTACTATCCCTGTTCTAGTCAGCGAAAAAGTTAGAGAAAAAGGTTAGTAGACATACATAGAATTTTGCTGTAGTAATTCAGTTGTGGTTTTTTTTATTGTGCTTTGAAGTATCTGTTTGTTATCTGACTTAATGAGCATTTAGAACACCATTGGCATTGGAGAACATTGAAAGATACAAGTCCTATTCCTTTTAGATGAATCTGAGGAGGAAGATTCAGATGAAGAGGAACTGGAAGGGGAGGAAAAGCCTAAGAAAAAGAAGAAGAAATTGAAGGAAGAGGAGGTAAGTTGTTCCAATTGTATTAAAAGATTTGTGTTTGGAAGTGATGGATTTTTTATTGTTTTTTTTTTTTTTTTTTTCTTTCTTTCTTTCTTTCTCTCTTTTTTCTTATTTGATGATTATTTTTTTTATGTTTTATGCTTGATATGCATATTGCTTATGTGATATATGTACAGAAGTATTACTTTATTTTCAACTTGTGTTTATTAATTATCTATTTACCTCTTTTAGGACAGTTAATTCAGTGATGTGATTTTCTGATTTAATCATTACTAATGTTTTACTCATACACAAAGTGTATGAGTAAAACAATATTTAGTTGAAAGCAAAGTATTTTGTACAGCTACTGAAAGAAATATAGAGATAAAGAGAAGTTAGCATTCCTTCAGTCTCAGAGAAAGATTGAGATTGACAGCCCATGTTATATCCTGCTTCTTTTACCCCAGGTGGCTGCCATCCGCAAGAAGATCGAAGAGGAACGTAAGATGTTATCGGAAAGGAAGGACCTCGAGGAGGAGGAGAGGAATAAGGTGAAGAGTGACCTGGATAGACATGAAAAGGAGCTGAAGAAGGCCCAGTAAGTAATTTTGAATGTGGAATTGCAAGGGCGCTAATCGTTTCCAAGTAGCAATTTCAGGTTAATGAAATGAAGGACATATTTTTGTCTTTCATTTTATCTTTATTTTTTTATTATTATTATTATTTTCTCTTCTCTTCTTTTCTCTTCTTTCCTTTTCTTTTTTATCTTTCCTTTCATTTCTTTTTTTTTTCTTTCTTTTTTTCTTTCTTTCTTTCTTTCTTTCTTTCTTGCACTGTTGGTGAAAGTTTCTAAAAATAACATATACTGGTGGAGTTGTAGTATTGTTGCACAGAAGATAAATCGTTGGTCATTGGTTATAATAAAAGGTTTATTAGAGAAGCAAAGCAAATGAGATTTCTCAAATTTGGATTAGTATTTTATTTATGTGTTTTGTTGAATGCAGTATAAAGACATGTATGTGTAAATGTATAACTTTAATCCCCCATGTATAATTTGGGGGGAAAAGGGGGGGGCGGGGGATGTATGATTGCATTTATATCTACTAACTGACAGATACTCATAGCTAGAGTGATAGATATATATTTTGTGTATATGCATGTCCATATGTATGAATTAATATTCATAAGGTCAGGCCTCTCCCAACTTTAACAAACTGGCCGACGCATACTTCATCTTACTTCTCTCACTTTCTTTGATAGAAAATCACATACACTTAGTTAGACCAACTTATTTTTAGATAAGGAAGTTAAAACTAACCCTTGTTTTTCAGGAAAGAGCAGGAGGCCTTGAAACAGAGGTTACAAGGACTAGAACGCAAAATTCTCGTCGGTGGCGAAAATTTGTTGGAGAAAGCGGAGGAACAGGAGAGACTCTTGGAAGAATCAGCCAAGGAGCTTGAGGAGAGGAGGCGGCATGAAGAACAGCTCCGACACGCCATCACGCAAAAAGAGGTAAGGCGTCGTTTGAGAGTGCGTGAATGTGCGTAGGTGATGCTTGCGTACATGCATGCATTTGTGGCTCTGGGTGAGGAAGGTGCTAAAGACAAGTTTTAATTATTATGTAGTATTTTAGATACTAGGAAACAATAGAATATATCCATTGATTGAAGAGGTCTTAATGAAGCATTTTTTACATGGCATTTAAATGAAGGAAGTAACATGTTGCAGGGAAGATTTATTTGAGTATTACTTGTAGGTTTCTGAATAGTAAGAGTTATGCATCCCATTTTTCTTAAACATTACAGGCAGAGAGAATTGACCTAGAAGAAAGGTATACCACTTTACAAGAAGAGAATGCTGGCAAGACCAGAAAGCTCAAAAAGGTGTGGACTCTGCTGATGGCCGCCAAGTCAGAACTGGGAGATATGCAGGCAGAACATCAACGGGAAATGGAGGCTCTTCTGGAGTCTGTGCGACACCTGTCTCGGGAACACAAGTTGCATCAGCTGATCATTGATTCTTTTATTCCATTGGAGTATCAGGTAACCATTTTTAGATATATATTTTTTCTTCTTCTTTCTTTCTTTCTCTCCTTTTTTGTGGGAGTGAAATATTTCTTTCTTTATATACCTGTCAGATACAAGAAAGAGTTAAGAGGAATTTAGCTCAAATATTGTGCACAAAGAATATAAATATAAGGTATGTTTCACAGAGAGCAGACAAGAATTTTACACAAAGAATATAAATATAACATATAAATATAAGGTATGATAGCTGCGTCAGTAATATCAACTAAGTCGGCTTTATGCAGCCAGGGTAGATGCAGTATGCATCCAAGAATCACAGGAGGTTAATAACAGAAATATCTACCCTAGCAACCATGAATAAACCATGTAGCTGCACAAGTTAAATGGAGTCAACCTCATTTGATAAATCTGATCCTTGATCCAGTAATAACCATCACCACTGGACCTCAAAGAATTACAAAGCTGTATTTACACCAGAATCACATTTCAAATGTTTTACTTATAGCTACCTATACCTGTAAGTATATACTCATGTTTATGATATGCAGAGTTCATCACAAGGCTCAAATTTCAGGACATGGTTGAGCGCTACGTTCACTGGAATGAAGACATAGGGGAATGGCAGCTGAAGTGTGTTGCTTACACAGGGAACAACATGAGGAAACAGCTGGACAACGGTGATGCAGAAAAGGAGAATCAGGTAAGCAAGATTGTTATTTTCTTATTTTGTAGGAGCTGTAGTTTTGCACTTGAATGATTTATCCTCTCAGTTGTAGATTTGATTGTACAGGAATGGTGCTAGGGAGCTTTGTGGTAATACATTCCTGTAAAAAAAACTACTGTAAATGCTCTTTAGAGTATGAATAGATTCAGAACATAAAATAAGCATTCATTTAATGCTGTGCCATGGCTTAGATTGAGATTGAAAACATCTTTGCAAAGCACAAGCGTATCCTTGTAGATAAAGTGGTATCGATGGAAAGGGATGTATATTTCCAGTCATGAAAGCTTGTGCTTAAGGTCCAGCCAACTCGTGTTTAACAGCCATGTATTGTTGAAGTGGTTTCCCTTATAATGATTTTTTATCCCCCCCCTTGTGTTTTATGCTTTCCCTGTGCTTCTGCATTAGTGTGATGAGGTTCAAAGGCTCTCTCTTCAGTGTCAGATATCAGTTATAGAGCAAACGAGTAGAACTGTGAGAAAGATATGTCCCAGACTTGAAAAAGGCAAATCATATATATATAAGAATACTTTTCTGTTTTTTTACATGTCAGTTATTGTTAGGAAATGCCCCAGATTTATCAAGATGATAGTCTTCTACTCTCCATTGCTCCTTATCTGATGATGAAAAACGATGGATAGAAAAAGAAAATTCATAAGCAATGGCTTGAGGAGACATGCTGTTCTTATCATTTTGCATTTTATCTTTTTTCATTTTTTTTCACTCACAAGCGTGTTTCTTATTTTTCCTTTTGTAATTAGAAAAAGAATTAATGACTCCAAAATAGTATGATAAATCAATCTTTTGCTGAAGCAGTTACAGAGGTTAGTAATAAATGAATTAGGCCTATTCTGGGATTATGAGAGAGGAACGCCTTGCAGAATTAAGAACAGAGTAAACCTGAGGACTTCAGATCATTGGATTTGGATGCCTCATTGTCTGCATGTTTCCCAAAATCCAGGCATTAGGCTTACTTGCTTGGCAACTCACAGGTTTGTGGCTTGTTGTCCTGGTACACACGAACACTAGTGTGCAGTGTCAAGACTCTTTGTCTATCCTTTATTACATTATTGTCTCTTATCTCTGCATAGGCATTTTTTGTTTTTTGTCTAGGTTCTGTTATTTGTCATTTGATATCCTGTATCAAGATAGTAATAGAATGTTTTCCTTGGACAGATTCCATATCATCTTTCTACATAGTCTATAATTCTGTGCAATAACAGTAACGATGAGTAACATTTAGATATTTGTATCATTTTTCATATTTTTCTTATATTCGATTTTCAGTAATATAGGAATAGGATCCTGAGCATGGAAAAAGTGTCCTCCCTGGAACCAGCGCTCTTCCAGTCATGGCTCATAGATAGTACAGTGCACAGTTGTTTACTGATGGAAGCAGTGCAAGAGCCTTCCCCCCCTTTTTTATGAAGGTATATTTACGTCAACTGGCCCTCAGCCAATTAGTTTCATGATGTAATGGTCATGTCAATCAGATCCAAGCACTTAATTCAAGAACTGACTTGTGTTTATGCCAAGCAGTCAGCATTATGAAATGGAAATGTTTAAATCATGGAACAAGGGTAGAATGCACCATCCGTGAACCATTCCTGGAGGAGCACTATCTCAAAAGAGGACACTATTTCTATACTCAGGATCCTATTGCTGCTCACTATGCTCAGCAGCAGAGGGTGTGTTACAGAAAATTTAATGATGCAAAAATATGTAAGAATGACTTTGTTATTTATTGTTATTGTTATTGCACACATTTGTAGACACTACATAGAGATATATCTTGATACAGCATAACAAATATAGACCTTTAAAAATGACAAACAGCAAAAAATAGTTTAAGAAGAAAAAGAGATAATGATATTGCAAAGAGGAGGCAAGGAGTCTTGATGCCTCATACAAGTTTTCATGTGGACTGGACCTACGAGCTACTCACCCATGAGAGCGACCACTCAGATAAGCCTAATGCCCTGATTTTTTTTTACAGACCATGAAAGCCCCTAGATACAATAGGTTAAAATTTGTCAATTATTAACAAAAGGTTTGATGTTAAACTTTAAATCAGTGACATATCTGAAAGACAAAACATTATTGTGGTAGGACAAGGGAATGTGACATTTTTATTATCAATTTTATAATGTTGTTATTAGTAGTAGTTGAAGTAGTATTGTAATTGTTGTTGTTATTAGTATTATCTATTATTGTTTTTATCATTTTCATCATTATTATCATTATTGTTAATGTTGAAAAATGAATATATTTTTTCTAATTAGACCTGCTTACCTACTAATACTATTCTATTTTTTGTAGATTGTAGGATTTTTTTTTCTTCTCTCTTTTGTCTAGATTACTTAACACATTTTTCAACCTCCCTTTTCTTCCTTCAATGCTAAGTGTTGTCTTGTTTTGGTCTGCAGTTGCCAGAAGGGAAGGAAGAGGTGCAGTGGTCTTTTCTAACTAATCATATGGAGATGGAATTTTTAATTGCAATTCTACCATTTAATCCTTCAGCAAAGGAGATTTATTTGGCCTTTATGCGAGACTCAGTTATTCTCATTATTATTGCATTTCTTTACTCTATTTGCCAGTGTATTCCAAAAGTGTATATTCATGATTATTCGACTGCAAATGACACGCGAATGCAGCATCTTGCATCCCTCTTTTCTAAAGCCCTAGACACTCGAAATAGTAATTTTGTGGAAGTAGTTACATATTTCTGTTCTTTTTTATTTCACGTTTTTCGTTTTTAACATCATGTTATGTAACTTCAGCAGTGAATGAAAATTTGCATTTGTTTATTCATATTGTGGGTCACTATGTATTTTTCTTAGTATTCATATTAAGTTGTTTTTTTTTTTTTGGGGGGGTTTCCTTTCTTTCTTCTGATATTTCTGAATTTAAATGCAATGTTAGATAGAATGGAATGTCATCATCATCATCATCATTGTTGTTATTGTTATTATTGTTGTTATTAGTAAAATTGTTGTCATTATTATTATTATTATTATTATTGTTAATATTATTGTTATTGTAATTATTATGAACATTGTTTTAGCAATAAGGATAATAGTAATGATAATTATAATGATGATAATAATAATGATAATAATAATAATAATAATAATAATAATAATAATAATAATAATAGAAATAATGGTAATGATGATAATGATAGTAATAATAATGTTTGTTTATTTACATTATGATAACTTCCAGAGGTAGAAGATAGCAAAAAGTTATTTTCGATGGATTAGGTAGGAGTTCATATCAGAAACATATTTTGAGATGATTAATATCAGAATTAAACCTATGAAACTAGAAGTTTTAGTAAAAATTGTGTGTACCATGCATTTCTCTGTGTCTGTTTGTCTGTATGATTGTGTTTATAATTAAAAGTTGATAGTGGGAGTCTTGATAATGTTCCAGTGCTCCGAGTTAAGGCTTTGAGCTGAGGGTATGTTCAGTAATGTTTGATTAGGTATGTTATGGATCATTTGAAATTGACAATGTTTGGTGTAGTGATTGATTATTTATCTTTTAAATTCTTTAGACATTACACATGCTTCAGAATAGGGGATGCTTCACATTACCCTATTTTTTAGGAAAGATAGATTTTTGGGGAGTCAAAGAGAAATTGTGACATGTTCCTGTTACAGTATATTTTATCAAAAGGCATTATGTGTACTCATGGTACAATTTGCATTATGTACCTGAAATGCAGCTCATTTTGCCGGAAATCTTGATTATAGATAATACAATGACCTGCATTTTCCTTTTTTTTCACATTCCATACTTCATTTCAGTAGTTGTTCTCATCCTTGAATATTAGTTCATCCTTTTTAATATTCATTGTTTAACCCTGGAGCATAAAATATGAATGTTAGTTGTGCGCATGTGAGCATTGGATTTTGATAAGCATTGTCTTGTGCCTGATTCATCTGTTTATCTAAGAGTCAAGTCTTTTTTTTTTATTTATTGCCCACATGACCATCAGGTCCCATGTCACTGTGATGAATTTAGAGAATGGTATGAATGAGATTGAGTATTTCTGCAATGCAAGATAATTAGATGACGGTTCCTTGCGTGTTTTTCAGAAAAGCTTCATTTTAAACAAGTGAATTGAAATGTCAGTCATATGTCTTGTATTGGGAAATTATTTGTTCTCGTTCTCACCATGTACCAACTCTCATGTTTGTGTGTGTGCATGTTCGTCGATGCATCAGTAAATTTGTCAATTTTCGGTGCAGGTGGAGTCTGCTCTGAGAATGAAGAGACTGACCTCTTTGAAAGGAAGACAAGTAATCTTACTTAAGATCCTAAGATATATCTTTTGTTTATTTTTTCACAATTTATTTTTGTGTGTAGTTGCATGCTTATCAATGAACGTGTCTTTAGGCATCATCAGGACTTTTTCAAGAAGCTCTTTTTACCTTTATTTTTCATCTTTTTATGTATTTCAAGATGCTCTTTTATCTTTTTTTTTATCTTAATTAATAGAAAAAGTTACATGTTTGAGTATCAATAAAGATTTTTTTTGAAAAATATGCATTTAATGGAGATATTATGGAGCAATCTGCAATTTTATATAACCCAGGCTATGGTATTTGAAATCAGTTACTCAGTGTAAAGTACAGAAGCATTTTGCAGGCGGAATGACAGTAGAAATCTGACAGACACAGAGAGCATACCATGGGTCAGAGTCAATGAGCAATAAACCCATAGTAATAGCTTTAGTATGCACCTGTGAGATTTTTAGGTCTTTGCATAAGTTCAGCTAAAGCTAAACCTTTATTTGCTTTTTAACAACCATAACAAGTAATTTTCCTTCAGACACCTTTGTAAAGTAGCTAATGTTTGTTCTTTCATTGTCGAAAGGCAGCTTTTTTGTTTATTTTTGTGTAATTTGCTTTTGTCATGTTCTGTCTTATTGTGTACAGCTTTGAAAATTTTTATGAGGAAACCAGATTTTTCTGCCTTGATTTTAGTTTGTCAGGCAAGGAAATGCAAGAGAGAAGCAAATATATAATAAAAAGAACTTTTTCATTATTTTTTCCGATCCTTTCTTTTTTTTTTCAGATTTTTCATTTTCAGTTTAAGTTTTGAGAAATCTTTGTGATACAGGTACTCAAAAGTCAAACATGATCTTAGGTAAAGATAAATAGGGGTATAATATTAAGAAATTTTCGTGAATGAAAGTAAGCTTTTTGATAGGTCACATTACTCCTAAGAATATTTGTTTGTAAGAATGCTTACAGAAACCCATATAACGAATATTAATATGCAAAGCCAGATTTTTGTGTAGACCCAGAATTATGCAGGGCGCGAACAGGCTAATGCTATAATTGGCCTGGGCCTGTTACTCTCAACTTCACTTGGAAAAATATATACATTTATGTACCTCACTAACCATGGAAAAAACAAAACTATGACTAATACATGGCCAATAAATGTATTACTGAAAACTGTTCTTAAGAGAAAATCAAGTATAGAGAGATATGCTTAGTGTTCTTTGTCTTGTGAAGTATCTATGTACATTTTGGGGCAGTTGGAAGGGCACTTGGAGTTGTTAGTGAGTCTTTCATACAATGAATTGCACACATCACACCAGTGGTTTTGGAAAGCCAGCTAAGTCTTTTGGTCCCAGTTTTTCAACTTGAATGATTTGTAAATTTGGAATGGCTGTAGCAAGTGGCCGTAGAAACCAGCATATGAAGAACTTCCCCACAAAGGGTTGTGGTGGACAAGTATCCACTTCATCTAAACTGAAGAAAGTCGGCAAATAACACCTTTGATTATTAAAGTGGGTTTGTCATGGCTGGGATCTTAAATGAGGTAAATAATTATATTTGTTGTAACAACTGAGTCAGTATGGAGACCTTGGAAATGGCCCTATGCACCTTGTTCTAAATATGGCCCAGATGATTAAATTGGTGAAAAATTAATTTGTCAGATGGACAGTTTGGTAAATCTGTCCTAGGATTTTATTTTCATCTTGGTTTATTGATGACAGGCCTTAACAAATTTTGGGGATTGTAAAACTGGCATTCTGTTTACAATTTTTCTTTCATTATTATTATTGCTTTGACCGTTAGTCTTCATAGTGTTTGTAGAAGATGCATACCTTATTGATGAAGATTATATAGATGGACTTTGTTGTTATTGTTATTTATCATTTATTTATTTTTGATCTTTGTTTTGGTCTCTCTTTTTTCATTTATCATCATCATCACCAGTGATATTTTATTATGTGTACCAATATCAGAAATAATCCCATTGCTATTGCCAGTTCTTATTATTGATTGGTAGCATGTATACAGGTATATGAAAAATGCTGTTTGGTGAATGCCTAAAGAAAGCTTTAACGTTCATTGGCCTGCATTTTTTTTATTATAGAAATTATGCTTTTTGTTTAATTAATTAACATACTTAAAAAGAAAGCTTTTGTAACTGTCTGTGCTTTAGTTGTTGTTTTTTTGTGTAAGATCAGACTCATCTGTACATAGCTGTATGTTATACAGACCTATATATATCATAATTTTCTTTTTGAATATATTTCTTCTTCTTCTTTGTCTTCCCTTTTCCTCAGCATCATTATTTTTTTTATACATAAATGTTTTTGTAATTAATTTCTTCTTGTTGTTCTTCCTTTTCTTTGCCTCGTCTTTTTCATACCTAAATGTTTTTTTGTAATTAAAGATATGTTATTAACCCCTTTTCAGTGAGGGATGTCTATTTTGATTTAATAGATATATGATCCTCAGTCAAAAATCCTGGATAGTGGGAAAAAAAATTGCACTAAGTCCATGTTTAAGGGTTGATGTGTATCTTGACGTAGACAGTTTAACTTTTTTAAATAATATGCTTGGAAGACGATTTCATGGTTGTTCTCAAGTATTTGACGGTAAAGGATCCAGATTTTGTTTGTTATAAGAAATGTAGGGTTGGGAATGTGCATTAATTATCGTGATCATGGTTGTATATCATGATCGTGATCTTTGGGTTTTGCTTTTCATGTCTCATATGTGGGACACCCGTCATTATTGGGTTAATTTCCTTATTCTTAATTCATATTATGTTTGTCACATTTTTCACTTATTCAGTAGTAATGTCCTCTCTCTCTCTCTTTCTCCTTTTCTTTTTATTGGTTTTGTGTACTTGTTTATTGATTTATCTATTTGTTTATTTACACTATACCAAAACAATACTGTAAGATGCAGTTGCTTATTAGGGTTTCAATTAATTTCATCATTTAAAGGTGTTTTTCAGAATACAGTGGAAAATTATGGGTGTTAAGTTAAATTTCACCTTCTGTAATATCTGATTTTTTGTCACTATTTACATCTGATTCCTTATAGAGGTTGCATTGGTGTTTTGATTTAGGCATCATCTTTTAAGGGAATTTATCAAAAGAGGAAAAGTTACGCAATAGACTTCCATATCTAGAATATTTTATACTTTGTCTGAAAATTTCAAAAGGTTTATGTAGGGGCAAAAGAGCTTGCCTATTACCCTATTAAGGCATTGAGTGCATGAATATATGCACTATGTGCTATGGTGGCTTTGTTTATTTTTTTCAATGAAGAAGACTATTGAAGGTCTTAGTCGGCAATTGTTCAAGATACCTGACCTCTTTTATTTACCCCATTCCTTCTATTTAAAAGAATATATGTTATTGTTAGTATTGCTAATATTATAATAAAGATATTATTAAAGGTAATAGAAATAACATCAATAACTTAATATAAAAAATTCCTGATATTCATGAAGTGTATTAAATGGGTATTAACAAAAACTGTAGGCCTAGTGTTTGGTTGACTTAGCATTTGTGAAGCCATCTATGTGTAAATAAAATGAAAATGATAAAACCATGTTAAAGCTGGTCTCCAGCCTGTTCTGTGTGGTCCCCTTCCTCAAATATTGTATTTTACTGGCATAGGCAGCTCATGCCAATAATTATCTCAGAACAAAAATACACCTACCCTTCACTAAGTGATGGTTGCCCTTTTTCCCCCCACAGAGTTTCTCAGATTCCACCATAATTCATAGATCTCATACATAATTACCCTCTTTATCAAGCCTTCCCTTCCTCCCAAGCAGAAATTCAGGGGCACATCCCACGGGTTGGAAACCACGGGGTTAGGAGAAGTGTTGGTGATTTGGAATCATAGAGGGTAATGCTTGGGTTATTCATGGGAGGGACTTTTGACTTCATACGTTTTGTAAGTTATGAAAAGTTTAATATTATCTTGGGAATAAATTGGTTAACCCAGATGTTAGTTGAAGTTTACAGGGAGTAGAATGCTTTTGATTGATTTCCGTGTAAACTTAGCATAATTTTTTTGTAATCATTGTATTGGAAGCAAAGGTTTTATGAAAATGGTGATATTGGTTCTTATGTGTAACCTTTTTTTTTTTCACTTAATAACATATCTTGGTGTGAAAATGATTATTTACGGGATACATTTAAATCCTCTCGGAGGACTAATTATTTTACTTAAAAACTTGAGTTGCTGCATGATACAGCTGTTTCTTGACATGCTATCTGACTGCCTCTAAGCCTTTAGTGGAGCTGTTAATGTATGTATTGTTGCTGCTTTTATGGATAGTTCCTTATATAGGTATTATTTTTTATTAGAGTGAAGACAGTAAAGTAATTCTTCTTCTTTGGTAGTGAGAATTACTTTGGATTTATAAACAAATTTCCTAGATGCATTTCCTGTAATAATATAATTCAGTGTTTGGTAGCTTATAGGATGGAAACTTGCTCTTTTACCATTTTGATGATTAGTTTACAACCTAAATGGGATATTCAATTTTTATATCTTGAAGCTGAGAATATTGCCTCAGTTCTACTAGAATGCTTTCAAGTCATGAATTTATTCGCTATTGTGTGCGTACTGCTGAATTAAATGTATTTTTATATTATTGGAGCGCTCATCTTCTACATACATGTATCTTTCTTTGGTCTTATATGCACAAAAGTTTAGAAATACATGTATATACACATACATAAAAATGTACATATACACACATATACATATATCCTCCTGAAATCTGACCCAGAAAGGGATTGAGGCTTGCATATATTTCCCACTAACAAGAAGTCCAATTCTCCATTAACAAGAAGTCCCATTGGGCATGATTCTTTGCCCAAAGGGATGGTGGCTTTGGCCACACACACATAATACATGTAAGCACACTTGTATGTAAAGATGTGTTGTAATGCATACATTGTATCATTGATATTCTGTAGAACAGCAGCATAGTTCTTGGTATTATCAACGTGCATCTGATAGCTATATCATGATAGGATCAAAATCAGCCAATGATTGTCAGCCATGAAATAAAGCCTTATAACCTTCTGATTTATGTTCCAGAACCAAGATGGGGATATGTGGCAGGTCTACAAGACATACAGTCCTGAAGTGTATACAAAACCTGCTGCCAAACCACTTAGAAAGAAATCAGGTATTCCGAGACCCAAACATGCCAGGTCTGCACGGAAGTACGACAAGTAGCTTCAACTCATTCCCAAATTTTTATCACCCTTGGAAGGGTGATACAGATTTGCGTGGTGTGGAGACATCATAGTATTGGCAGGGGAGTTAAAGAGCCAGTTTAAACCCAGCAGTGAAAAGCAAACTATATTATTATAATGCAAAGAGTGTGTATGGAAATGAGCTTTATAAGTGGTAGTATAGTAAACCAAAGTAAGATAGGAGATGGAGATGGAAATTTCCACTTTTTTCAACTTTTTTTTTTTTTTTTTTTTTTTAAGGGTGGTTTTGTTATTGTTTATTTATTAATTTATTTATTTATCTCAGAAATTATTGTGATTGAATGAAGGTCAGATCTTTGGGTAGGATTCCTGAGTTTTTCAAAGTAAAAACAAACAGCCATAGGGCAACATTAGTACAGTTAATTACTTTGCTAGGTAATGTGACTGTTTGTATGTTTGAACAGATATGTATGCCTGTGTGTGTGTGTGTGCGCTTGTCCTTTTGTAGTTACTATATCAGAATCTCTCATCACGTGAAAAAGTCACAGCCTGTATGCAGACAAATATAATACTTGCAAGCATGTGTGTATCTGTATGAGAGCTTATTTATTTATATTTATAAACTAGTTAATGGGATTCTGTATGATTTTATTTTTCATTGTATCATTTCAGTATCCAGACTTAGTAAGAAAGATAATAGATTAAAGGAACAGGAATGCATTTCAAAATGCCAAGATTAGATAGAGCCGAGGCAGATTTGTTGATACAGATTTAAGAGAACTTACTAGTCAATAATGCTTTTGTATGAGTTTTTAAAAAGGGTTGTAGCTATGTCATCTCTTTACAGTCTCTTCTGGTATTTATTTTCATCATAAGTGCCCTTTGTATTTACTTTGTTCTTTTTGTATGATATGGTAATTATGCGTGTGTAAAATAATTGATTCTTACTTCGGCCAAAGCTGCCGAAGCGAGCGCCATCACTCATGTTCTGAGATCAGAATTCTTGTCTTTTACAATATGAATTTTTTCCCACTGTAGTGCATAATACTGTTTATAGAGATGGGAAAGAACAAGTGTGTTCATCCTGTTCCATTTGGAGGTCTCAAAAGAGCCATGACATGTCATTGCATTCCTCTTTTAAATGTTTCCATATCTAGTCATACCACATAGTCACATCTTTTATGGCATGATTTATTTTATTTTATTTATTTATCATAATTGTTTTATTTCCTCCATACACAACAGTTTTCAGGAGTAGGTCAGAGTATCTGTCTTTTGTGTGTAGTAGTATGTGTGCTTGAAGGAGGCCAGAAGGTTCCTTACACTCATCTTGTAAGAGGCATTTATTTCTTCAGTTTGTAGCTCACTTTGTTGCTATTTTTTCCCCCCTCCCTCCCTCCCTCTCTCTCTCAAACGTATTTGCATCATGATCATAGGCAGCCAGAGAGAGAGGGAACTATTTGCAAAATACATTTTGTCCTTTTGTTTTAGGAAATACAATTAGTACAGTGCAGCATATGGGGGTATCGTATGAGTAAAGAAGTGAACAGCAGTACTTTGGGAATTGGTAAATACTATAATTTTGAATTTATGAAAACCATTAGAGATGGGATCTTTTAGTAACATTATGTTTCTTGTGAGTGGTAAGGGGTTGCTGTTACACTGTAGGGAACACTCTTTAAATGAAATTGCAAAGAAATTGAGCATTAGGAGTAGATGTCTTTTATGTTGATATTAGATGGGCTCTTGTAAAGTGTGTGTTTGGCAGGTCAGTTGCTCCGTAGGTAGTAGGTAGTAGAGCATGAAATAAAATTAATCTTAGTTTACATGCATACTGCATACTGCCCTTGAAAATGGGTGGCATCACATGAAAATTGGTTCTATATGAAAAAATGTGCGATACCCCTCTTTAAGTTAATCCTGCTTTTAATGCAGCTAACCCAGGTCTGAGATTGTTATAAAGAGGTAGACCATTATTATGATTTGCACAAATTGAAGTTAAAATTGGTCATTTCCTTTTTTTTTTTATAGTTTTTTATAATGGTTGATGAATGCAAGACCGTTCCTGTATTTGGAGAATGTTTGGGTCACATATATCATTTAAGAAGAAAGAAATTGATGGAGTAAATGGCCAAAATATCTGTTGATCCTTTTTTTTTTTTTTTTTTTTGTATTCTATTCCTGCCTCTTTTTATATGTAAAGCTTGTAGCTGGAAAATGCAATTATGATTCTTTAAAAGTAATGTTGATATTTCAAGATGAAGGTAATAGCAGCTGTGATAATTTTGGTTCAGGTTATGTTAGCATATTATGCTTTATTAGATTTGTAATTTTGTTTCAGGATCATTTATACTTTGCATATGAAGGTATGCACTTTGTGTTTAAGTTATTTATTGATAAGTGAACACTGTGGTCTCATGCTATGTAGTTCACTTACTTCTGTAATGACAACTTCATTGAGATTGTATTTGTCAGCATATACATGGTCACATAATGGTGGATAAACAGTGAAAACATAAGGTACTTTGTTTCATCCACTCTGCAAAGACTTCATATTTGTATTGTAGATAATGCTCAGGTTCTGTGTTAACTCTTGAAACGGGTTGCTCAGTGAGCTTGCCCTGTATATCCAGAAGTTATTGTAAAGCATAAGGTAATTACTCTAACTGTTATTGATGGATAGACTAAGCACAAAAACATTTCCATTTGGCCTTATACCATGTAAGCCGCAGGCCCCCAACGTCTGTGATTAACTTAAGATACGATTCTCTTTAGGTGACCAAGTGTATTCTGAGGACATCTTTCATATAGTAGTCTGTATAGTGTAAAATGAGAATCACAAGCATGTTTATTGATGTAAAAATATATATAGTCTCAGATGATTGTAATTAAGTGATTTTTGGAATTTACTTTACATGAACCTGGTGTATGGTAACGAGCATGAATGGAAAGTGGAATCATGTATAGATATATAATTAGGAGATAGTCTGTGATCAGAAAAACAGCAGCTAATTAGACAGGTTTATATGCTCATTTTTCCAGTTGCTTAGTCATAATTTTGCTCCTTTGTACTTACTTACAGAAATGATCATATGTAAAATTGATCTAAAATAATTTATGCACTACAAAAAGTTGCAAGAACGATTCTTTAACCTTGTCTCGGTTCACAATGATTCAGGGGAAAATTTTGATTGGAACGCAAATAATTATGACAGTATAATATATTTCTGAAATAAACTTCCAGTCCCATTTCTCTGCTGTGCTTCACTAATAATTAATTGTAATCTCCAAATAGAATGAACAAAGGTACAGTTATAACTTGCCACTTTTCACAGGAATGCAAGACAGCAAGTTGCAGTACTATCTGGTGATAAATCTATAATCAGATGAGAGAAACCTATCTCATTCATAACTCACTTTGATGATAAACTTGGTATTTTTCCTTTATCTTGGATGTTACTTTGGTGTTCTTATCTTTGTTTGTTTTTCATTACTTATTAGTTTTTTATATATAAATTTTTATGTACCCTTTACTATGCTTAACAAAATAATTAGAGTTTTGCCGAGAGTGAAGTGTCTATATTATTAGCTTAAATTAAATTATTTTAATACTTTGTATGTATTTATCATGGACTGAAATATAGACTGCCTAAAGATTTTATCATATGACATTTGAGAATCTGATTGTCGTCTCTTTACTAAAGAATTTATTATGTCATGTAGTTAGTAATATAAAGTGCTTTGACTTGTCACATAGTCTCAGTTAAATGATTCCATTAGTGTCATTATGTGCTGATATACTTTAATAATTTGTAATGTTACCAATTGGTATGTGATGGTTTTATATCATAGTCTTTAGGCTTTAAACAATAGTCAGTTTGTTTCATTACAATTCAAGGGTACTAATGTTCATTTTAGACGATTCTTTAGAAGTTTTGTTTGGAGGAAATAATGATGTACAACTGTAAAGATGTCCAAGACAAAAATAAAATTTGGAAAATTTATTTTTTAATATTTGCCTACCCTTCCCCATCAATGTCAGAAATGTTGGCATTTTGGCCACCCAGCCAAACACTGTCACTCCACAGCCCGGTGCCCTCTATGTGCCCAACCTCGTCATGACCATTCAAATCACCTACTTGTGGTATTTTATAGGAGCTGCTCTGCCTATAATCTCAAATGTGAGGTAGCAGTTCTGATCCAAACTAGGCCTTAGTCTATGTGAGGCTAGACAGAAAGCATAATGATGAGGGTTTTCTCTATTTACATATTTCAAAACAGTCCTTCCCTCTGCTCCCCTCCCATCTCCAAAAGATGTGTCTGCTTCTCCCCAGTATATCTTCCCTCTATCCTGAATCATCCTAACTCTATTCTCCCTATCCCCAAGTCAAATCCCTTTTCCATTCTAAATCCAGATACTCCAATCTTTACCACTTCATCGATTGTCTACCCTTCCTCCCCCTCACTTTACCTTTCACCAGACAACCTAAAGGTTCTACCTCATCTTCGCCTTCCACACACCCTCTCCTACACCCTCCTTTTCCTCTGCTCCTCGAACATCTATCCCCTCTTCTTCTCACAACAGAACCTTTGCTTCTCAGACCTCCGTACCCAAAGCCCCTCCTGAAATTATTGAAGACATACAAAAGTTCCACCTTCCAATCCCTTTATTCCTAGTCCTACATTCAAAGTATTTGCCTTAATCCATTCCCTTTTCATTCTCCCTTATCCTTACCTCTACCACCTGGATACTCATGTGAATCGCTTCTGTCGCAACAGTGTCCTTCTCCGGATTCCTCCCCTCCTGACACTCTTCCTGATACTTCACCTCCTTCCCCCAATCCCTTTACCTCATCCCCCAGACTCTTCTGCTACTTTTCCAACTGCCATCTCTACCTGTATTTTCCTTAAAGCTATTTTCTTATAACTTCCACAGCAACATATACGCCCCATTTCATCAATTGCCATATACCCTTAACCCTTTCCTTTATTGATCATACTATTCTATAACACTATAACCTTTGACATTTAACTCTCTTTATCCTAATTGTTACCTCATTTACCCTTTTCACCATAATACTTTACCAGAGTGCTTTATGAGCTTAAATGTTTAACACATTTATTTGTTTCAACCATTAATATTAGCCTAACCATTAATATGTAGCTTTAAACCTATCTGTCATTGGCTTTCTTCTCAGTGACTGTAACCAAGGGCCAAAAATGTGCAAAATTTATTAAAACTGGCTTGACTGTGCATGACTTAATGATGTTATCCTGGTACAGGGAAGTCTACCATGGTGTGCTGTAGATATGTAATGCAACTGTGTTTCCTTTGTTTCTTCTCAACCAATACATTCCAACATAGACTACTGTAACTCTGTACTGCATACACAACATTGGCCTGTAAGACATCAACCCCAAAGTCTAATATCAGCTTCATAAATGTTGACTCACTAAGCAGGACATTTTGATCGTTTTCAAAAGCTTTCAGTTGACAATAGAATAATCAATAATCAATAAAATAAACCCCTCACACAAATGTTACACTCACTTGTGTGTGTATAATACTGGAAACTCCCTCCTCATTTTGCTTTTTGCTTCTGGAGGAAGTCTGCACCCTGAAGTTTTGTTGATGAAGATGTTATGGATATAGATCCCTTGCCTGTCTGCTTTAGCTTGCCAGTGTTGAAAAATGCACTTAATCATAATGCTGAAAGAAGAAAGAAAAGACAATGCAAAATTAGTTGAGGTGAGGGCAAAAGACCAAGCTTATCAGTAAATAAGGGATTGCACCAAGCTTATCAGTAAATAAGCTTGGGGCAAGCCCTACATTTGGCCTCAGTTTCCGTCTCCGAAGCCCCCACAACTACAATGAACAAGATTTCTGATGATGATGATTGTTCAAGATGACTGATGATGAGTGATGACTGATGATAACAATGACAATGACAAAAGAAATAATACACCTACAGGTTCCTTTAATAAAATAAGTATTTTCTCAAAATTTTTAATACAATTTACACTGTACAAAACATTGAACAAATGACTTAAACCTTATTTACAAAGTTTCTTATTTTTCCATATATGGTCATATTTAGTAAAAGAATAATTAAATAGATATATAAAATAAAAATCAATATAATAATAATAGCACAACTAATTATGAAAATGACAGTAATAGTATCAAATAATTAATAACAATTACTTTAATATCAATAATAATAATAATAATAATAATAATAATAATAATAATAATAATAATAATAATAATAATAATAATAATAATAATAATAATAATAATAATAATAATAATAATAATAATAATAATAATAATAATAATAATAATAATAATAATAATAATACAATACTACTAATACTACTATAATAATAACAATGAAAATAATAATAGAAAAAAAAAAATAACAATCACAAAAAAAAAAAAAAAAAAAAAAAAAACCTGCAAAAATGCCGGACTCACATTTCTCTAATAATTTAACGAACTTTCCTATACAACACAATCATCTTTATATACAAATGATGCCACCAAGCTAATGCCACTCCTTGCAATAGCCAAGCTCCTCACGTCCAAAGCTCAGAACCTGTCTGACCCTATCTTCAGTGCCCTTTCCTTCGCAACTTCCGGAGTGAGCTGTTCCTCCTCCGATGGCTCTAGGGGTCTGCCCTCCTCATCTAGCTTGCCAGCTTTGAAGTCCTCTGCGATCTTCTGGCTGTACACTGCGTGGAAAAGGTCTTGGGGACGGAATTCCCCCTGGACGACATCTGGCACGCGGTAGGATACGTAGGGTTTGAGCTGTAATGTTTGGAATAAAATATTACTGCTGCATGTATATATAAAATCAAGGAAATCAATGACCATAAGAGAAAAAATCAGTAAATAAGCTTATCAAATGAAAGATGATTAACTAGTAGCAAGAGTCTTCAACATGGGTAAAATTTTGTTGCTTTTGTTGCTTTTTATTTTGCATAAGCTGATCTTAAAAATGAGAGGAAAAAAAAAATGTATATACATAAAAAATAAGGATACAGTTTTGTTTAATAAAAATTTATATGATCTTCAAAAAAATCATTTTGAAAGAGTTTGGACAGATAAAAATTTTAAAAATTAGCCGTAGTGAGAAAACTATACATATTCATCCGGGATCCATATTCAGTGCTTGTACTGAAGCCACAGACAGATCCATGAAATAATCATATCTTTTCTGACTAATACTCCAGTATTTCTTTATGGTTTTTCTCTTATCTCCTCTTTTTCTTCACCCATTTTTATTTCCTTACAATCCCCTGACCAGCTATCAGGACCTAAACTTTGGCCGGCAAATAAGAAATACACAGAAATATCCCATAAAGACCATACACGTGAAAGAATGAGGAATCAACCAAAAAGCATGAAAATAAAGTAAATAAAGATACTATAGAAAGAAAATTATCCAACAATCCAAACACAAAAAATGAAAAAAAGATAGAGAGCAAACCCAAAACATACAGGCTTCTACAAAAAGTCATGAACCTTACCTTAAACCCTTCTAAGTCAGGTACTATTAGCTCTGGAATCTTTTCAGGAATCACTTCGTACTTCTTCCCCACAAGTTCACCAACTGGCCTCACACCACGACCTAAAAGTAAATGAGAATGCCAATAAAACAATGTAACTGATGTGAATAATCTAAAAAATAATAATAATAAATAAATTAATAATAATAATAATAAATATAACAATAACAATAACAATTAAAACAAAAATAACAATAATAATAAAGATAATAATAAAAAATAAATTAATTTATAAATAAAAATATAAACACACACACACACACACACACACACACACACACACACGCACACACGCACACACGCACCCACGCACGCACGCACGCACGCACGCACACATTTAAATAAATATCAATCATATACAGACATATACAGATACATACAGATATATACATTTATATATAGAGACATATACACTTATATACATATACTTCATGGTTTCACTACTTCATTGATTTCCTGATGTACGTTACACATTATCCTGGTGACTCACATTGTTCATTTGATTTGGCACCTTTTCCGCAACATCTTTTGTGTGACAGGAATCGAGTAGGCGGTAAATATTTATTGAGTTGCCAGATGCATTCTTCCTACTTCGGATATTTTATGCATAATCGTACTTATGTTGGATATATATAACACCGCACAACCCACCATAAGATAGCAAAATCCATCTAGGATATTTTATTTCAAAATACCCTGTACTGGCCGAAAAAATAATCAGTACTGTAAAACAGCTAGCCGTTAATTGCAAACATTCCTATTACATCCCAGAAGTGGGTCGAGCTTAGCAGCCTGTCTTGCCTCCAAACACAAGAAAGCCTTAAGTGTTGCATCACATCGCGTGACACCCTAAATGCCATCGGAAAAGATGACAAATGTCTAGTTTATGAATTAGGCCTCTTTTCAAACTACCCCCTCATCTCCAACAATCTCGGAGGACCTGTGGGAAATCAGCCACATTTATTAGGCTGTATCTCCTGCATTATCAGAAAGTCATAAGGCACACCTGAAACTTGTTGGCTATCTATCTATCTATCTATCTATCTATCTATCTATCTATCTATCTATCTATCTGTCTATCTGTCTATCTGTGTATCTGTCTATCTGTCTATCTGTCTATCTGTCTATCTGTATATATGTATATATGTATATATGTATATATGTATATATGTATATGTGTATATGTGTATATGTGTATATGTGTATATGTGTATATGTG